AAGTTTCTTTCTGCAGTCCTATGTACTATAAGCTTTCCCACCCTTTCCCCCAGGTGCATGAGCTCATAAGTCTTGCAAACAAGACAGAGGGAGATGTCCCCATAATCTAAAGCTGAGGAGTCGCTAAGTGGAAAATTCAGTTCCTGCTCTACAGTCTACGTGGAGAACTCAGTGCTTGTTGGGCAGGTGCTTCAACCTTACTCTCTCACCATCTCCAAATGGTGTTACACTGGCTCCCCAAGGTAGAGGGAGGGGACTGAGCAGACGGCCTACCCTCTGCTGCATTTTTTCCCATTATCTGCCCTCTGTGGCCCCTGTTCGCCTTCCTCTGCTTTCTATCTTTCTGACCTGGCCTTTGTGAGTTTGCCGGACATATTTCCTGCAGAGCAGGGATGGTTTCTCTGCCTTTCTAAAAATGTTCTGTACTTTGTTGTGGTGAAAAAACAGAATAACAGAGCTTATCTCATAATGGGGCTTTTTTGTGTGTGTTAGGAGGGAAACAAAGGAAGGAAATACTAACTTTGAATTACAAGCTTATATAAATTATATTTCGGAAAGTACACCGGATACAAGTTAATGCATTAAAGAAAACAGAGGTTGTAAGGGAAATGTCAAGAAGCCTTAATAGGCAGGTGCTTCTGCTAAGGTTGTCTGCCATTTCTCACTGTAAGGGTTGGTTTCCAGTCATTTACAACTCTGCCAAATTTTCTTTCCATTTGTGAGGTCTCACCTGAGTTCTTGATTTAAAGTTCAGCCAAAATAGCTGAGTTGTTCCCAATAAGCCAGGGAACAAATCTACAGTGCTTTTCAAACATTGAAACAGCCTTTTGTTTGAGAAGCTCAAGCGTCTCCATCCTTTGGTCAAGGACTTGGACTTGACACTTAGAAGAGTGATGGTCTTTGTGTCAAGGAAATACCTTGAGAAAAGTCTGCCTAAATCCCAGGTCACAGATGCTCAGTAGCTACTCGAGTCTGTTGTCAAAAATGTCCCGCTTCATCCTGGGGCTGAGCAGGGGCTTCTCCGTGGTTGTAGAATGAGCTGCTCTAGAGCCAGGTCCACTAACAGGGCTGAGAGCAGGAAGACTGTCTCATGGAGTGCGAGTGCCGCCTGTTGACAAGCAGGCAGTGCAGGCAAGCTGCCTGACTCAACAGGCAGGACCACAGCCAAGGGACGTGTCCACCCGAGGGAAGATACTGAAAGACTGAGTAGGACATAGGGTAAGGGAGACTTGCGTTGGAGGATGAGGGGACTGCCATATGGAAGGAGTGGGGTGAGAACATATTTGATCATATGTCCTGATAGTATAAAATAAAAAAACAAAGCACCAAGACTTAGGAAGCAAGGAATGAGAGTGGTTGAAGTGATGAATGGGCTCTCCCATTTGGGTGGTGGTGACAAGTTTATTGGAGAGTGATTGAGAGGCATGCGAAGACCTGGGCTCAGCTGATAAGTACAGTGTGACTGGAGCAAGGCAGGGGGTAAAGCTTGATGAGCAGGACAGGCTGTGTCCATCAGAGCATGCTTCTGCTGAGACACAGAGCAGAAGCCAAAATGCTTTACACTCAAGCAAATGGTGTGGGGGGTGGAGAGGAAATCAGTATTTGGATAGAATGTAATAAATATGGCTGAGGGGAAAGAGGGACAGCTGGCACTCACAGTTACATCAGGAGCCAAAGACAAATTGAATACCTGCTTGTTACCAGAGCACCATTCATCCTATGCCCTAAAAGAGAGGGGTGTCTTGCAAACTGTCTTGTAACTACGTATGTGAGTATGTGTGGCAGCAAAGAATGGCCATGGTGTGGTTTAGCCCCAGCCAGCAACTAAGCACCACACAGCTTCTCACTCACTCCCCCTACCCTGGTGGGATAGGGGAGAGAATCAGAGGAGTAAGAGTGAGAAACACTCCTGGGTTGAGATAAGAACAGTTTAATAATTGAAATAAAGTAAAATAGTAGTAGTAATAATAACAATATAATAATAACAGTAATAATAATATACAAAACAAGCGATGCACAATGCAATTGCTCACCACCCACCAACCAATACCCAGACAGCTCCCGAGCAGCAATCACTGCTCCCCGGCCAACCCCCCCAGTTTATACACTGAGCATGATGTCATATGCTATGGAATAGCCCTTTGGCCAGTTTGGATCAACTATTCTGGCTGTGCCCCCTCCCAGTTTCTTGTGCACCTGGCAGAGCATGGGAAGCTTGAAAAGTGCTTGACTAGCATAAGCAGTACTTAGCAACAACTAAACCATCAGTGTGTTACCAAGATTATTCTTCTTCTCAATCTAAAACACAGCACTATGCCAGCCACTAGGAAGAAAATTAACTCTATCCCAGCTGAAACCAGGACAGTCAGTAGAGCAAGGGTGCACTGGCAAACAGGCCTGTTTCCAATATTTACTTGTCTTGAATACGTGACTTTGTTGTCTTCGTAATGTTCTCAACTTTTGTTGTACACAATGTCTTAGTTTGGTTTGTTGCTTCCTGCCTACGGATCCCAGACTCAATAGCCAGCCAAGACACTGTTGTCAAGATAACAAATATTTTTCCCACCATGGTTGGTTCAGAACAGAGCATTTAATTCTTTTCAAACAATCTATGTTAATGGAGTGTTTACGGTTTGAAGTCAGGTGCTCAAGACTTTGCCCTTGGGTCTCTTCTAGCCAGCAGCGGGAAATCCTGGCTTTTATTTTTGAGCCTGGAAGGGGGCCGCATTCTGAATCGTGCAACCACCCGACATATTTGATCCAGTGGAAAAAGAAGGCTGGCTAAAGACATCTTTCGGGCTATCTTAGAAATGAGCTTTCCTTTGTCAACTCTTCCACTTAAGTAAGCCTTGTCTTTTTTTCTAGGAGAATGATAGTAAGCTCTGCTTATTGCCAGGTGTTGAGGCAGATAATTAACTGTGTGGAGCTGCCATCTAGATCTTCTCCGGGATCCCAGCTGAGCCTGTATTTCCCTGTGCCTCTGGAGAGAAATCTGACTGACGCTCTGCCAGAGGCTTTAATTTTATTCCTGTTACACAGAAATGTCAATAGTTTCTTGAAATACAATACAGATGTTGCATTTAGATACTCTGTGGGATCTGAGATTATGCTTCCACTGAGGAAGTATGGAGAAATTTCAGGACTCCTGGGGACTGCTACTGAGCGGGAGAAATAGCTCTTTAAGAGTCTTAATATTCTTCAGAATCTGCACAAACTGCTGTGGGAACAGCTGTAGCACCTTTTTGCCTCTATTCATCCACATTTATGCTGTGTGACACAAAGAGTTTGTTTTGCTACTGGATTATTATGGAACATGGTTGCTATTAGCATTTTATTTTGCTTAGTGACTAAAGATTAAAATGGTGGGAACTTTAAATGGAGAACAGAAAGATGCTAAAATCAATCTGGATCTCTTTCCTCCTTTTGACTTTCAAATAAAGAGAAGGAAAAGGGGAAGCTTTAGTAAATAATGGAAATTTACCGTAGTGGGAAGCATATTGCTAATATAAAGCTCTGTTTCTCTGCAAGGGTTATTCAGGCTTAACAAGGCAAGTACTCAGATGTTGTTTATCAGTGTTGTCCTAACCCAGAGGCAAGAGTTAAGTAACATGTGCTGAAAGTGGGCAGTGAGGGGTTGTTGCTAATATTCTCCTATGTTAAAATGACTGCTTAGCTTCTTTTGAAAGCAAGCAAGTGTTCCTTTGCACTTTTTATCATTATTCATGTTTCCCCCTAAATATTTAGTCTGTAAATTTGAGAGAGATTACAGTTTCTAAAAGAGAGGGGATAGACTGTGAGTCATGTTTAAATTTGTAATTTTGAAGAATAGCTTAAGATGACACATCTGGGTACCTGTGTTCTTCATCCTCAACATCCTCTTATTATTATGCTACCAACATAAACTTATAAAGCAAAGCCAGTGTTTTCATGATTCAGCAATCTTGAACAGGGGATCCTGACATTCTGTTCTGTTGATTTTTATATTGTCTTTTAAGGTACGATGATAACAAACCGAAGCACAATATTTCTAAATGTCACACAGTGCCGACAGTAGGCCTTGCAGTAAATTATTACCCGGACTGAAAATACAGCACATATATTAAAAATGACCAAATGTATGAGAAAATAACAAATCCAAGCCCGTCTGCCTTGTTTTTGTCTGTCGTTCCCATTTTGATTGCGATTGGCTGGCAAGGGCTGCTGCTGGCATTGCACAATTGGCTTAGATGGGGAATTACAAAACAGGAGCAGATCCCTTGATTGGGACTCGGTAGCACATGCAGCTGAGCACAGGCGAAAAAGAAAGGTCACCCGTACGCAAGGATTTGAGCGGGATCTCCCTCACAGATGTTTCCATTCCAGAGAAGCGCATCTGATCTCATTTTTCTCATCGCTCACTCGGAGTGTTTAAATGCTATAGGGATTTTTTCTTTCAGTGAATGTAAAAATGCACCTGGGAACAAGTTTGCAACCTGGAGGCTTATGAGAATTTCAGATGCGTGGAGCAGTATCGCAGAATGATCAGAAGGATCTGCGTTTTTTAAGGAGTTTTGAATACCAGTGAGGAGGAAGACGACTCAAACAGAAGGTTAAAAGTAGATGCAAAAGGAAAACAACTTTGTTTTGATCCTGAAATTATGCTGAAAGCAGCATGAAGGAGGGATTATATCAGCACCAAAGCAATGGAGAATCAAAGGGGTTTATTTTCCTCTGAAATAATCTCAGTACAAGAAATGTAAAAACTGTCTTTCATGCAAAAGAAGAATTCATGATTTTAATATGGTTTGAAGCTCTGTGGAACTTATTTAGGACTGCTGTATCTGTGTAGTATAGTATTTCTTCATCTAAACATCTAAGAGAAGATTCTGCACAAAAAGGTCAAGCTACGTTTTTTTTAACTAGTTTTTAACAGCTTTTTTTTTTAGTGAGAGGATCAGAGGAGTTTCATTTGTATTTTTAACTAAACTTTCTCTTTTTCTTCTTTCCTTCTCCAAACTTAGTTTACGAGATGCTGGAATTGGATTTATTCTTGTCATAGATCGCAGACAGGACAAATGGACCTCTGTGAAAGCTTCCATACTGCGGATAGCAGTGAGTACTGGTTTAAATTAACTCCTTAGAAAGATCTTCCATGTTGAACCTTCCTCTTACAATTAGAAAAGCAGCAATGACTTTATTTCTTCAACAAAATGATAGCTGATACATGACACAAAAAGTATCCAGTAGTGCTTTTGTATCCCAGCTGACTGGGACCAAGCATCATGTGTTGATGACGTGCTTTTAATGCAGTTTGCAGCTCAGGACGTTAGCCTGCGAAGGCACTTGGAGAGCGTGTGTGTGTCTGCGTGTGAACGTGTGCAGCGTGCAGCTCTCCCAAGTGGGAACTCATATTTACGTGGACAGCCTGTGCATCTATCTCATAGAGCTTCCTTTTTAGGAAGAGTTGAGGATGAGCGTCCTGATTCAAGTTTACCACATGTGAAAGGAATTCAGGTGTAAAAGCTGATCTTGTGGTGTTTGAATTAAAACAAAGGTTGCTTGTAAGCAAGGAAAGCTTACATACCTACTATGATCAATCAACAGCATATGTGGTTACTTTCAGTCTCCTTTTTAATAAGTATTTTTTTAAATATGAAAACTAAGCTTATTAGAGGGTGTGGGGTTTTTTTTACACAAGTAGGAGAAGACAAATTCATGTTTATCATGTGCTTACCATACTGTTCGTTTACTTTATGGGGTTGTTTTTCTTGTTATCCTTGCTTGAATTGTTAGTGTTGATAATCTTCCCAGTAAGTGCTGAAAAACAGAGCTGTAAGCATCTTTTCTTTAATTCTTCATGGCTGAAAATTTTAAGCTCTGTAAAAAGTCAAATCAAAACAGTAAATGTCATTTTTGTGTAGCCCCATTTTGACCAAAGAAAAAGAACTGTTTATTGTAAATTAAAAGGTATTTATTTAAAGGTAATGTATCATTCCCGCTATATGACTTTCTATGAATGAATATATAATGATATAATATTCCCACAATACAACTTTTTCCACAGTAAGTATGTTTAGGAATGCTAAAATATTAAAAATATACAGAAATATTAGCAAAACCTGCTTTTGCAGCTCACTTTGAAATTTTGAGATGCAGCATTGAACAGATTCCAGTAGTGGAAACTGAAAGCACAATTTGGGGTGATTAAAGGAAAAGGACTCTATTTCTGGAATTTTTAAAATTCTTTCCAAATTCAATGCTGTAGTTTCTCTTTAAAGACAGATAAGTATTCCACATATGACAGTCCTTTTATGTACGCAATTGAGGTGGGTAGGGGGTTGGGGGCAAGTACAGACATGTTGCTTATAGCCATAATATTAATGTTTATTGGAATATTCCTCCTGTGTGCGTTATTTTGCCTAGAAGCACAATATACAGAACCTGGGTATCTATTCCTCATGATACAGGATCCATCACTGTAGTGATGGTGTTGGTGGCTAAGGGCTTTGCCTGGAAAAGGGTGTTAAGTGCAGCGAGCTTTATGGGTTGCAGTGCTGTTGATGGTGGGTTACTTTTCTTTCTTCTTCTTTTCTCATTCTTCTGTGAGCTTTATTTAAAAGAGAAATCATGCTTCCTATCTGAAGTCTAATCTGTTAGAGGCATAATCTGTTTTTTATATATCCGTTTCTTTTCACTGGACCGGCTCAGTGTTGGCTTTATATTGCGTCTGGCGGTACTCCTCTTGGGCTTCTGCAGTAGTCACGTCATCCCTGAACACTTGAAAATTTTACCTTCCCATTCCAAAAAAAGATGTAGTGACAAATCCTTGTTTACAGTCTCCACGGTTTCTTTACTATAATATTTGCCATAAGTGAACTCTAAATAGAAAAAAGCTCAAAGCCAAGTATACGTGATACATATCTTGCACCAATGTCGCAAGGATTTCTCTGGGTCCTGCTGATGGACAAAGATTGTAAAATGGCTCAAGGGTAACTAGAGACTTAACTTCCACTTCTTTGGTTTTCCTAACCATCAGAGTTGTCTTTTGATGATGATGATGAACCATCTGAGTGTTATTTGGGCTGTCTAGGTTGAACCTAATGTCTGAAAGCCTGGTATCTCTAGCAGTTTTGATTGCTTAAGCGTATTGCTGTGTGTGAGGATATGAGTCTCACATTATTTGAGAAGAGCGTTTTGGCTGTTGGCTCACTTGTACTAGGTCATGCAGCATCTTCCCAGCCATCTTTCCCAATTTGTCTCTAATCGCCCTGAGGGGGTTGACCCTTTCGATTTGTGAAATAAGAGATGCCAGCGCAGGGTGCTGTGGCTGGAGTGCTGCCCAACAGGAATATCCTGGCTAGAGCATCTGCCCATCACTAATATCCCAGCAACTGTATGAAATATATTTGTAAGCACTGAGCAGCTGCTAACCAGAAACTCATACTAACATGTTGGGGTTTTTTTTAATAATTATTATTTTATGTTATTTTCAAGACTCTTCAGACACAAATGTTTGGTTTGTACTAGTAGGCATTAGAAGTATGTTTTGAAACAAAACTAATAAAGAATTTTTGTTTCAGGCTGAAATTAGTGTGGAAAATCTTTCTCTATTATGAAAAATTTCTAGGCTTCATTCTGCCTTCTTTGTTGTTAGGGATCATTTCCTTTCCTGGGACAGAAAATGAGCAATGAAGAGCTGAATCTTTATTTCATGCTGATACTTTAGGGTTGCTATAGATAGAGTCAAGGCTGTGAAGACGAAGTAAACCTATTTTTGCAGACATAGTGGAAGGGCAGTGGCTGCAGTGTTTACCCAGGATGACTGCTGCTGAAACACGTGCAACGACAGCAGAACTGAAACCAAAGCCAGAGGCACTGGGCTGAAAGATGGTCCCTCTTTTCCCAAGATGTGACAGAGAGATTGTAGCAAGCATGTGCACAGGCATGCAGGGTTTGCTATTGTTATACTCTACTTGACAAAGTTGCAATGGGCAGGTGGCCCAGGAGGTTGCCCTTAGCCAGTTCAAGACTGCAGACACTGTGGCTTAAGAGACACTGCAAAAAAGATTATTTTTTTATTTTTCCCCTGTTTTAGCTAAAGTGAAGTTACTAGCCCAGTGCAGTCAGGAATGGCACATGTTTGGAGGGCGACTCATCCTGTCTGAGATAGGTGGGATGGATAACCTGGAGATACTGTTGACTATAGGGAAAGCTTAGCTTTTAGATGGCTGTAAGGTGACAGAATTCATCCCTACTGTTGAGTCTCTAGGAAGAATCTGGCCTACTGGGATAGCCAGGCTGACAGGTGGAGCTCTGGTAGAGACACCAAAAGACAAGCTTTATATTGTTAAGTGTGAAGTCTTGGCAGTAAATTGTCATCTTCCTAGAGAGGCTGTAGAAAACTGAGAGGTATTACAAGAAAAATATCAAAGTTAGCTGTTGCAAATTGTTCACTCTTATTACATTGTTGTTTGAAGCTACAAAAGTTCTTACATTTTTGTCCCGTCAGCTGCTGAGATTCTTCTAAATTTGTATTATAACGTCCTGTTTTCAGTCCAACCACGGTATACAGAGATGCACAAGACCTTGCTGAACTTTTTAGCTCCTGTGGCTGAGCAAGTGGGTAGGCTCATGGAAATAAGGTATGGTTCCTGAATGAGGGTGCAGGGAGGAGCAGTCACAGAGCTTGGTAAAACGGCTCCATATTCTCCAACGGAAGTCAGGTGAATGACAAACACCAGACAAATTGATCCCCTTTTCCTTTCCATGCAGTCAAACATGCCTCGCGTCCCCCCCCCCCCCCCCCCGCCATTTTTCTTTTTTTTCTTTTCTCTCCTAGTCTTATCATATTCAAACAAGCAATATTCAATCCACAGTTGTAGGAGCAAGGAACTTTACTAACCAATGTATTCTGAGGTTTCACACTGCCCTGTTCATAGTTCCAGTGTGTTTTCTTAAAATGAAGCCTGTGTCATCGCATGGTCTTTGTCTCTGTTGTCCTGTCATCATTGTCTTCCTCCATCTTGAGGGAAAGGTTGAAGCGTGAACACAGCCTTTCAGACGAACAAAAAACTGCACTCAAAGTCATGAAAAGTTTCACTCACAGCCATCCATCAGCCTCATATTGAAAGTCCAGAGAAAATAAACTACCTTAAACTTGGTGCTTAGAGAATAACTTACGTGTGGGCAACTGCTCTTGAGGAAGCAGTTGGTATGGAGGTCACTCAAGTGGTAGTGAGAAAGGTTTATCCAGTTACAAAACTTTGCAGCCTGTTCTAAATGTGACAAGAGTTGCGTTTTATCCAACCTCCTGGGGAACTTTGCTTCCTGATTTGCCACCTTTGACTAAGGATGAGTTGCCTGCAGGTTTCATGCCTTCTGTTTCAGACCGCGTGGTCCAGGGGACTTGTTTTTCTTAGCTCTTCATAAATCAAAATGCCACCTTTGCTGTAACAGAGGCTTAGCCCATTAATTGCTTTGAAGATTAGGGCCAAGACCTTTAGCTGGCAGGAGGAGACCAAAAGCCAATGGAGAGACTGGTGTGCTAATACCAGCCTAAACCGTGCAGGAGCCAGGCAGTCCCATTTTTGTGCCATCTGGAGTCTTATCGTTGGTTTTATATCCAAGGTGAGAAACAGTGAACTACAGTAGTCTAACCTTGAGTTCGCTGACCTTGTTTGTAGAGAGACGTTGAGTTTCTTAGTGAGTTGTTGATGGAGAAAAGATGCGTTTAGTAACTGATGCTCCATGAAAGGCACTATTTTATGTTATGGATAGGTATTTCCCACTAGCCCGGTTTCTAACTAGCTCTTTGTATCATGTCCTGAAAACTGTAATGACAATTTGTATGGGTTACGTTTGAAAAAACTGTTCTTTTTACAGCCACTAGTCATGCTTCTCATTTTTGCTTGGATTCAAAACAAGACAAAGAACTTGACAGGATGATGAAGCAAGAACAGTATTTACATTAATTTTGTAGCTATTGTTATGAATGATTCCAGTAAATGATAAGCTAAAAAGGTTATTTTGAGATGCTGTATGGTTTTGTCTTATTGCTTTGGATGTTTTGAGAATATTACATGTGCGGGCACTCTCACAGTTATCTTCGTATA